ACTTGATCCTGCTGCCCCAGATGCACACCACCCACCGCACAGGCAGACCACACACACATTCAATGACACGTCCTTCTACTTGGGGTCCGACTGAGGCCACAGGGGTCTTCCTGCCCACCTGCAGCCCCTCCTACTCTCTGAGTAGGGGCTGGGCCTTTGCAACCAGCTCGCCTGACCTGAACCCCCTGAGCTGCCCCCGCCCCAAGTTACTCCCCCAGGATTGCCCCAGCACCCATGGCACCTGGCACCCCTGGATCCTCCAACCTCAGGAACCCGGAGGGACTCTTTGTTTTGCTGCAGAAAGCCCTGACCCCAGGAAGGGGATGCCACTTGTCAAGATCTCCCAGCCCTGTGGCGTGCCCCTAGCCGGTTCCCCACCCGGGGCGCCCCAAGCAGCACCTTGGGGTCCTTCTCATAGTAGTGCTGCTGCGTGCGGATCCAGCGGCCCACCAGGTGGTCGCGCACAGTGTGGGCCAGCGCGAAGTAGTAGTCTCGCGGGGTGGCCACATTGCGGTCTTTCACGAGGGTGAAATGGAGGTGCCGGTTGAAGTTCTTCTTCAGCTCAGTGACATTCTCCACGCCGGCCAAGCCGCGCACGCTGATTTGCTTTCTCTTCTCCTGGTCTGTCAGGGGCCGGGACATGGCTGTGGGAGGGCGGCCGGACGGATGGGTGGACAGGGGGCCTCAGCAGTGCCTCCAGCCAGGGAGTGGAGATCCCCAGCTGCCTGGGGATTTAAAGCCAGGCTCCAGGCAGCATGCCCCGCCTCCCCGCTCGCTCGAGGGGAGGGTCTTGGCCTGGCAGCTCAGGGAGCTATTTTGGGGGCGAGGGGAGGAGAGGAGAGAGGGGCAGGGAGAACGGGTGAGCTCCACACAGGCGAGGCCCGGCCCATCCTGGCTTGCTCACAGCCCTGTGCTGACCCATTTCCTCCAGGCCTCGCACACTGGGGTCTTCTGTCTTTCGTCTCCGACTTTTGTAGGCAGAACGCTAGCTTGAAAGGCCTGAGGCTTGACTGGAGCCAATGGGCTGATTCTGGCTAAGAGGTTGCCCTGAGCTGGGCCCTTTTCCTGGGGTACAGCTGCAGGATGGGGCCCAATTGTGGGCTCTCAATCAGGGCTCCTTGGAGAGGCCGAGGGGGCTGTCAAGGGGACACAGGTGTCAGGAGGCCCAGCCGCCAGATGCGCAGCTTGCCTTCTGTTTTAGGTATTTGCCCAGAGACTGCAAACCACAGGCTGGATGACCCCCAGGGTAGGGCCACCAGGGAAGCTGCACTTGCTGGGAAGGCAACACGTTGTGGCAAGAAGGACCAGGACACCCCTGCAGACTGAAGGGTCATGAGCTGAGGGTTAGGGTGCCCGGGACAGAAGGCGTGCAGCTAGCAGAGGGCACTGGGCATCTGAGAGAAGGGGGCCAGGACCCTGGGCTCCAGCAGGTGATATGCGGGAGGTCACCTGAGGCAGAGCCCCTCCCCAACCCCCCGCACCAAAGCCTTGCCACTCTGAGCTCCCCCTGTTGCTGTCTCTCAAGGAGCTCCAAAGTGACCTTTTGAGAGGGCAGGTCAGATTACAGACCAGCTTTGGCTAGGGGCCACCAGCCCGGAGCAGGGGCCCCTGGGAATTGTAGTCCTGCGGGCCCACAGGAGTAGGAGAAACTGAAGCACCCCCACCCACTCATATGATTGGCCAATGGCAGCAGGTCTCCCCAGGATGCAGCTCCGAGGTTAAGTGATGGGAGGCCTTCTCCCACTCACTCCTCCCCTGTGCAGCCACATACTGGACAGGCATTTGGTGGGCCAGGGTCCACTGTGACCCCACCTGTAAACTAGGAGCCCCTGCACCCAGGAGCTTTACATTGGCCTTCACGGCCCTGGCAGCTTCAGGCCCTCCCTTCAGAGGCTCTGGCTGCCCCCAGTTCACTGCTTATGTCCTGGCCCCAGCATTGATTTTCTGTGTGACCTTAGGCTGGTTGCTTTCGTCTCCTGAGCCTTGGAATCCTTCATCAAATTTATTCCCTCAAATGAGAATATAGATCCCTGCCTCATCCAGCTGCTGCCTCCTCAGTGTGGAGGCTGACTGGATCCTGCTTTGTTCTTTGAGCAAAAGGAGCCCAGGACCTCGTGCTATTGCAAAGAATGCCTGGGCCTTCCGGGGCAGTGGGCTGGTTGAGCGGAAGGACTGTGTGTTCTGGTCTGAGGGCCAAGGAAGCAGGTCAGAGGCCTGGACAGCTGCAAGATGCTGAGAGCCTGGTTCGAGGAAGGCCAAGCTGTCTCCGAGGTCTCTGAGCCACCACAGACCCAGCCCAGAATTACAGCTCAGTGCGGGGGCCAAACTGCGGCTCCCACACCGACTTCCGACTTCTGAGGCCTGCTCCGCCCCTGCCCCCAAGAGCATGACCACGCGGTCCTCCCCAGCGCCATACTTCAAAGTGGAAAAGCCAGGAAGGAGGTACCAAATGCGCCTACCCAGATGTAATGGGAATCCAGAAAACGTTCTCAAACTTCTTTGTATCTTCCAATTTCTCTTTTTAAGAAGTCTTTCATACGTTGTACTTCAAAAAAGAATGCTTGGTGGCTCTCGGGTCTCTCCACAGCTGCCAGCCTTGGCCTCTGCTGGGCTGGGCCTCTGCGGGGTTACCCCCACCCTCCAAGTGCCTGGGCTTCCTCGGGGAGGGCTGCTCCGAGGGCTCTGGAGGCCCCGGGGACACGCCGGTCCCTCGACAAGGCAGCACCAGTTACCTGCACCATCACCTCACACCCTAGTCGTGGCAGCACGCTTTGGCCACAAACCCCCTTCACACTGACTCATAATTACAAGACTTTATTTTCCTGCCACTAAGGACCCGCTCCCAACAGACCATTCCTGCCTTGTTATCCCACTCCCCAAGTTAACTCGACCCTTCCCAGCAGCTGGCCCCGGAGGCTCCTCTTCCTGCCATCCATTCAGTGATCGCCCTTCCTCTGCACTCAAGGCCCTTGCAGAACCGGGACGTCTTGTTTCCACCGGGAAACAATGTACTCTTGGCTTCTTTCTCCAAGTGCCTTTCTGGTGTGTTCTTAGCCTTTGTTGTGTTGGTGGTCCCCGCTCAAATTGTACCCAAGCTTTTTCTACGGGTGACGCCCCCCTAGGACCCCTCCTTTGTTTTGCATGCCCCGGCCCTGCGTGATGCAAGCCCTCCTTTGCTTCTCTTGGTGGTGCGTGTGCAGGTTCATCATAAAGAACGCCAAAAGCACGCTTTTCCAACCTGCACTCACTCACGGTTGTTTACATCTGACCAGGTTTCGAACCAGAAATCTTGCCTCCTGCCCTGGCCCAATCTTGGGTTTCTCCCGAGCACTTGGCCGGGTCTCAGTAGCAGAGCCCTGGCACTGACCTTTCCCAACTGGCATTCCTTTCACCAAGCAAGCTTTGAGGGGGTGGGGACACTGCTGCAGCAGCAGAAACAAGGGACGCGGGCCCTCTGTGACCACGGGGTCAAGGAAAGGGCTGTGCCTCCACCCTGGGTGTCTCGAGGCGGGTGGGGGCAGCGTTTGTCATCTCTTCCAGTCTGCCACTGAGGCAGGTCCCCGCTGCGGTTCTGAGGACCGAGCCCTCCTGCCACCTCTCCTCCATCTCAGGGCCACAGGCTGCCTGGAGAAAGGCCCGCTCGACGCCTCATCAGCCACTTTGTTACTCTCCAGACCTTAACAAAAGCTGATGGCGGGGAGCAGAGACGGACTGCACACAGGACTGGGGCTGGCCCCGGGGGGAGAGAGACGGAGGAGATAGCTGGGCTGTGGTTAAGTCATTTATTGATTTTATTTCTAAAACCCACATAGCGCCACTTTGCCTCTTCCAGAGCTTCAAAGAACTAATTAACCACCCGATGAGCCCACTAGGGAAATGGAGCTTGTGGGGGAAGCAACGAGGTGAAGCCAAGGTCAAAGTGGGGAGCCAGCCCCAGGGCCCCGCCCCCATCCCGACAGTTAGGGACAGGGGAAAAATCTTCCCCCTCTCCCTGCAGTCACTGGAAGCTTAGGGCTTGGTTAGGGAAACGCACTGAACTTGCCTTGTTTCTAAGGCCTCCTTAACCCCTGCAGACCTATGGCAAATCAGTACAGGCATCCTGGCCGGGGCCCAGGCACCCAGGCTGTTCTGGGTAAACAGCAGTGGCCAGCACCAGCTTGAGGCTGGAAAGCAGCCCAGGTCACAGTTGTCCCCACTGGCCAGGTGCCGGGGGCAGCAGGACCGTGCCGTCCCTTAGCCTCCCTGAAAGAAGGAAAGGCAGCCTGGGAAGGGCAGGCTTGACCGCGACTATGCCCAGAGACAGTGCAGCAAAGCCACCGCGGTGGCAGCTGGGTGAGGACCTCACTACCTTGGGGAGACCTGATGTGGATTCTTCTGGTGCCACAGTGGGCACTGTCCACTGCCCTAGACATGAAAGAACAAACAGCCTAAGACCCTTTGCAAAGAAGTGCTTACAAAGCCCAAGATGGGGCGCTTTCTCCCGGCCGCCACCCCACCCCAAGCCTGCAGAGCTGGCAGGTTGCAAGTCACCAGCAGAGAAAGAAAAAGCCACTTGGCAGTTTTAATTTTAGCACTGTGCCTGACAGGCAGGATTAGCTAGCGTGACCTTTAGTGCTGAGGCCTCCCTAGGCCCAGAGTCTTGGTCAGGTGGCAGCTTCCAGGTCTGAATCACAACTGGAGCTCATCAAATGTGGGGGTCTAAGCCCTAGGGAAAGGCCTTCAAAGGGACAGGGACCAGGGGGATGAGGGGTGACCAGGGAGGGGGAACCTGGTTCTCAGCTATTAACTAGTAAACAAGAAGAAGATGGTGAGGCCGCCCCCACAGACGGCCTCCACCAGCCAAGCCACACACGGGGAGGCAGGCAGGGGGCTTCCCTAATGAATGTCTCTCATTCCCCAGGGAGAAGGGGACAACTGGGGCCAGGTGCTGAACGCAGGTAACTGGTGCTGCTGCTGGTGGTGGCAGAGGGGGTTTAAGAGAAAAGAATGAAACAGACCCAGAAAACCACACTGCTCTTTTATTCAATGGAACACCCCCCTTTAACGCAGTGTTGAATCATACACCAAAAAAAAAAGCCCAGAAAAGTTTCTGCGGATAACCCAGTGAAGAAGACGCGCATTATACATCATTGTCAACATAATCACTCCAGGAAGAGGAAGGGGGGGAAAGGAAGCAGAACGAAAAACAAGGAGCTCAAACCCCTAGACACTGCAAAACATTCAGACGTTTGGGATTAAAATAAAATGTAAAAAGAGCCTTCCAGGAAGGAGAGGAACAAATGGCATCGAGGCAGCTGAGGCGCTCAGAGAGTGTGGACCGGACTCTGTGGGCTGGCAGACGAGCCCACTGCGGCCTGGGCAGCCCCACCGACCGCCAGCACGGGTGCCAGGATGGATGTGGACTCGGGACCTGGAGATTAACCCACTACTCTACGAGGATGGCAGACACAAAACCCCACACTTAAAAAAAAAAAAAAAACAACAAACAACTTCGGGGGTGGCTATGGCACCTTGAAAATCTCAGAACCAAAGGAACACCCCCTCCCCACTAGCCTGACATAAATGGCCAAAGCCTTTGCCTAAAACCATTTGCTCCTCTCCCCTTGGAAAGAGAAGAGCGAGGAATGGAGAAAAGGGAAAGGAATCTAATCGCAGCAGAAGACCGGGGAGAGCACCTCCTTGGACGGAGTCTGAAGAAAGGAAGAGAGAAGGAAATAACAAAGGAAAAAGAAAAAAATTAATAAAAATTTCACAATATGGAGCCAGCGTGTTCCGATTCCGTCCACAAAAATAACTCAGGCTGCTTTGCCGAACCATCCTGTCCACCAGGGGCGCTGCTGAGGCTGTCTGCCTGGAAGGGTCACCAATGGGCGCGGAAAGTCCTCACTCTCATGGCTCGGGCCATCGCCGCCGCGGGGAGGGATCCTGGCGGCCCGGTTTGGGAAGAGGCAAAGGGAGTTGGGTGAGGAGAGAAAGAAGACAAAGAAGACACTCGATGCTACGGGGCGCCAGGAGAGCCCAAGCTGGCGCCCCTACTACCACCTGCCCGTTCCCAAGCGAGTCCTCAGTCGCTTGGCCCAGCCCGGTGCGTGCACACACACACATGCGTGCACACAATCACATGCGTGCGTCCCAATGTCTGGCTCCATATGGTGAGGTTCGGCGTGTGTTTAAACGAGACCAATTCTCTCTCTATATAATATATATTTTCTTAAAAAAACCGAGTCTAGTTCTGTGGTGGAGGCGGTGGGGGAGCTGGAGGCATCCCGAAGGGCGGCATGCCCGCCACCCCCATGCCCATCATGGTGACAAAGTTAGAAGGGTCCATGGGAGGCGGAGGAGGAGGGGGTGGGGCATACATCATGCCGGCGGAACCAGGCGGCGGAGGCGGCGGAGGGGGAGGGGCCCCGGGCGGCAGAGGCGGCTGGACCCCGGGGGGCAGGGGCACCATAGTGGGGTTGCCTTGCATCTGAGGGGCTCCTGGAGAAGCTGCGGCAGCCGCCTGCTGCTGTTGCCATGGCGGGATGGACCCTGTGCCAGCGCTCGTGGTGGTAGTCGTCGTATCTGGGGTGGTAAAGAAGCCCAAGGTCACACGCGCGGGGGCACACCGCGGCTCTCTGCGGCTGCTGCCTTGGGATGGGGGGCGAGGGGCATCTGCTCCTTGCTTGGCATGCGGTACGGTGGTGGGGGGCGGGCGGGCGGGGCTGTCTTGGTGATGGGGAGTGGTGGGGTGGGCAGGACTACCCTGGGGTCAGCCTCGAGGTCTCTGGGCTTAACAGAGTAAGCCCTTTGTCACCAATGCCCCTGGAAGGGCTGAGGGGAAGGTACCAGACACAAGAACCGGCTCTGACATCCCTCCGCCCATCCGCCGCCACCACCGAACGGCACATTCAACCTCAAGGCCACAGCTACTCTCCCCACTGCCCGGTCCCATCCCGGCAATCTCTCAGGCCCCAGTCACAACCCTCTCCAGAGCATGCATGCACCCCTCCCTCCTGACCCCCGGGCATATGCGCAGACTCGGCCAGGCCGTGAGCGCCAGGACTTCTGGCACCCTACCTCCGGCGGCAGGCTCCCCTCCAGGCCCCGCAAACCTCTCCCCAGACACAACCACGCCGAACATCAGCTCCCCTCCAAGACCCCCAGAGGCCACAAGGCCCTTTCTGTTCACCCCCAGCAGAGACCAGAGTCTCATCCCAAGGTGTCTACCCGCCTGCGAGGTTCTTGCTCCTCTCAGCCCCACCCCCCCGACCCACCCACCCCCAGGAGCCCAAAATATTCCACTCACTTTGCTGCCATGGCAAGGGGGTACTGGAAGCCATACTGCTGCTGGGCGGAGGGGGTGGCGGAGGCTGCTGCTGCTGCTGTTGCCATGGGGGAAGAGGACCAGAGGGAGGGGGCGGGGGCTGCCCACTGGGCGGCGGCGGCGGTGGCGGCATCATGCCCATAGGCGGCGGCGGCATCATACCTGCAGGTAGGTGGAGGCGAGAGTGAGGCCTCACGGGAGGAGAGGCTGTGGGACAGGGCCCCACTCACTCCCAGGCCTGGGGAACACCCCCACAGTGAGCAGACCACAGGCTCCATTACCTTTTCCTTGATGCAGGCGATAGACCCCAGAGCCCACAGGCGTACTTCCCAGGTACTGATCTTGATGGAAGGAAAGAGCAGGGACTTAGCAGGACATTGGAACTGGCTGGGGAAGACACCCCCACCAAGAGCTTTCTCACTCACACAGTGTGCAATCACTACCCTCACGAAAGTAGCTCTGGAACTTTGCTCGTAAGAGGCAGGCCCGTGCCTGCCCCACAAAGCAATTCCGTCCTCAACCAGATAGTCTTGCTCCTTCCAGAGCCCGAGCCTTCGAGAGACACCCAGTGACACTAGGCCGCTTTGAGAGCCGCTTCCAGCCTGCAGCGACCTGCTGTAACCCTCGCTTATCCCAAAGCCCCAAGGGTTCTGGTCTGACACTTACTTACCCATTGGAGGAGGGCCATGGTGCCCAGGTGGGTGGGGGCCCTGGTTCATCGGTGGCGGTGGCGGCTGCATCCAAGGGGGTGGGGGTCCATTAGGGTTGTGCTGCATGGGATGTCCACCATGCCCACCTGTCAGGCTGGGTAATGGGTGTGGGAAGCTGTGGGGGCCACCTCCAGGCCCACCAGGACCACCTCCGTGCATGCCATGGTATGGCCGACTCTCTGAAGGGCCGGAACTCATCCAGGGTGGGCGGCTCTGTGTGGTGGACATGAGAGACTACGTGAGAGCATTTCCCGCCAACGTCCCTGCCTGCTCCCCCTGGTGGCAACACTGTTCTTTCGGCTATGCCACAGGACCAGAACACAAGGACAGGATCTTTCCAAAGCGACAGGTCCCCAAACCTCCTGACATCCCCAAAGAACAATGTTGCCAGCCATGTCCATCAACCTGCTCTGCCCAAAGCACCTGGCCACAGCTCCCAGTCTCTGAGGAAGAGAATGGGGGGCCAGACGGCGAGAGGCAGCCCCTGAAGCTCACCGGTGGAGGTGGGTTGTTGGCGGGAGCAGCAGGCCGAGGTGCGCTGGCCAGCGGGGTGGTGGCAGGCCCAGAGGTGGAGCCCACAGATGCCGGTACGGGCGCTTCACCCAGCTCAGCCATGAGGGACAGATACTCTTTATCCATCCGCGCTTTATCCTGAGCAGACTGAGGATCACCAGGCCTGATGGCGGGGTGGGGGACACAAAGAGAAAGGAGAAAAATACTCTTTAAGAAAGAATCATTTACCCGGAGGACTTTACACAGAGAAAAGTTCTGAGGAATTCAATCATCCTTTCCAACCCCTTCCTCAAGATAGCCTCATTCCATCTTGAGTTCCAGGCCCGGCTCTGTATGTGGGATGACCATATGTATGTCTGCCACAGCAGAGACCCCTGGGGCAAGAACAGAGGAGACAGTCAGCGCCAGACCACGGCCAGCCACGCCAGCCAGGAGAGCGCCACTTCTTCCAAATAGCAAGTTGCATCGAATTCTACACTCGTGGCTCGAAGGAAAGGGTGTCTATGCCAGAGCGGCTGCCAGATCTTCCTTAACAAAGCCTTCCCTGTTTGCCACCCAAAGTGGAAAAACGCTGCCATCAAGTGTCGCTTCACAACCCGTCAAAGATCTACAGATTGCTTGGTCTTCTTAAACCAATCTTAAGCAGCAAAAGGCAGTTAATTTCACATTGAGCCACAGCGAGAACACTTCTGCCCAGAATTGAAGTTTCCAGTTCTCCAGGGCTCAAGATGAGCAATAAAATAGGGGTGTTCTACACAGGCTGTTTCTAGGCATCCTCAGCTTTACATTACCCCACTCCAGACCACCCTCACAGAAAGGAAGCTTCTTTTGGGTCCACAGGTTAACAGCAACCAACCAATGTGCTACAAGAGCTGTCCTGTCCCCCACAAGCTACCAGGAAGCCCCTCCAGCCCTTTACCTTTGGAATTTGCAGTCAGAAGCAATGTGGCCAGCCCCTCCACACTTAGTACACACTGTGGTATTAGTAATGCTGCGGGTCTCTGAGCTCTGCCAGGGTCTCAAGATCCTGTTGAGAAAAAAAAAAGTCAACTCGGGGGCTACGGCCAACCTCCCTGCTTGCACAGTTCTGCAGGTCTCCATGCACTCCCCGCAAGCTGATCACACACCTGTTGTCGTCTTCCCGCAGGGTCCCGTTCAAGCGAGCCAACTCCCGAAGCTGCATCTTCCGGAGATCATTCTGGTCCTCAGGGGTCTCAATACCCTGCTTCAGGATGTTTCTTATCTAGTAGAGATGCAAGAGGCAGTCATGGAAGCGCCAGGACCACCACCTAGATTTCTGGCGGGAGGCTTCCTTTCTGGCACCCTTACCTGTTCCACTGCTTTCTTCACATTTTCCATGGTATTGGCAGTCACCAGGGCATGAAGTGGCTCATCTTCTCCTGGCAACATCTGGCCATCTTTGCGCCCAACTTTCCCTTCTTTTACAGACCCTTTCCCCCGAATCATAATCTTGGCATTACACTCCTTCTCTATGTTCTTCAAGGTGTTCCCTCTGTCAGAGGCAGAAAGAATGGAGTTGTTACACCTGAGAAGCAAGTTCACAGGCCAAAGGGGACAGGGCCGGGTTGATGAGGCATTGGTAGGAAATCGTGAGAGCAGAGAATTGGATTTTCCCACCAAGAGCTCCGTGATCTCTAAGTTAAGGAGAGCCACAGCAAGCCTCAGATTTGACTTCTCTGCAGTAAGATGGGGAAGTTAAAAGATTTTCTCACAGAAAGGCATGAACTCAGCCAAAGCAAACTACCAAAAATGAGACAGTAAGCCACCAATGGCACCCGATTGGGCACAAGATAGACACATCTGCCAGGTTCTTAGAAATTCTGTATCCCATAGGATAGCAGTTGCTCACCTGGGCCCAATTAGCAGCCCCACAAAGTTGATTTCTGGATACTCATCTTGTGGAATCATTACTTTATCGCTCACACGTGTTGCTGGAGGTCTAAAGAAGAAAACGACTCAGATTCTGCACATTTCTTAAGCGATAACACAGATAATAGTGACTATAACATAATATAATAGTGACTATAATAGTCACTATTTCTTCCAGAACTAACCAGTGGCACCACGTGTTAATTATAGGTGATCTGAAGTAAGAGGTGAGAAGTTAGTACCAAAATTGTTCCACCAGATCCCACACAAGCTGCATGTGTCCTTGCCCCAGGCGACCTAGCCCTCTGCTTACTTGTAGTCTGCAGGTGGCTTGAAATCAGGGTTGAGAGCAACCATTTCCGTGATGAGGTTATGCCGCTCCTCTTCCAGCTTTTTACGGGTGCGGAACTCGCGCGTGTTAAGCCGCTTCCCCTCGCTATTGTAGATGGGCTCAGGGGAAGGGGACCTGTGGGAAGCAGACCCTCGTTACTGCTCTGCCCTCACTTCTCTCTCGTTCCCACATGGGCTATACTAAGTCTTCCCCAGCCCCTCTGCCTCTCAGCCCCTAACACAACACTCTTCGGAGGAACCGACCATAACGTGTGCTATTCAAGATCGTGTGGAATGGGGAGATGGAAGCTGGCTTAGCGTTAGGCGGACTGGGGTGTGTGTGAGAAAGGAAAAAAATGGTTTTGCTTCTAAAAGTGATGAGAGGGGGGAAAAAAGTCTGTTCTTCTGGGGGAAAATCTTTGGACTGTAAATGGCAAGGACAGTATCATCCTCTGGAGTCTTCTTGCCAAATACAGATTTTCTTTCACTCGAAAAAAATTTACAACACTACAACTTTATAAACCACAGAAACCCCAAGTTTCGGTAAAATGTTAACTCTTGCAGAGCTCACGCCCTGTCAGGAAGAGTGTCTGTACCCCTACCACATAGTCACTATGAGCTCTTTAACCCAAGGCCACTGCAGCTACTTGGCCCCACAATGGAGAGAGATGGTTCAAGGCTTCGTCTCTGCTTTTCCTTCAATGGCCTGGCTGGCTGTGTCCAAGGCCCAGGAGTCAACCTGTTTTCTGGCTGTTCGAGGTTGGGGAGTCTGGGTAGAGAAAAACGTTAACGTGCTAAGGCAGCTTCTGAGAGAGGCTGCGAATGCAGATTTGGTCAAGTACTTGTCTAGGGTCTGAACCTGCAAACGGCAAGGGGGAAACCTATGATTCTCCACCAGAGTTTACAAGTCCAGAAAGCAGATTCTCTCTCTCCCTTTTTTTAAGGAGTAAAATGCTGTTGCTACAAGTAAAAAATAGTAATGATAAAATGGTCAGTTTACCACAGCTGGATTTTGCGGTAATAAAAAAAGAGAAGTTACACTCCTAGAATTCTGAGTTAAGATTACAAAAAGGACCATAGCTTGATATTCTGAATGAAAATTTAGTAGCAGCTGCAAGAAGGGAAGAGACCATGTGGATCAGGTTATTAAAAAAACATCCTGAAAGTAGTCAAGACTCCTATACCCTTGGTTTAGTTGAGAGAACCTTGCCTAGTTGGAGAGCAAGGACTGAACTCGGCTGCTCCCACTGTCTTCAGCCTAAAGGGAACCATGTCATACCACGTTACACACACGATGGAATACAAGGTCAGGTTTGTTCATGGCTATGACGGCTAAATGACACCTCCGTTTCTAACATTTGCATAAACTGTTAGCACAATCCATTAACAGTGAACACAGAAGCAAACATTCCCCAGCTCATCAGACTATCATCTTATACATTTAAGTCTATAAGAGATTTTAAAACATTTTTAACTGTGCAACTTAAGCAACATCAAAATGGTATAAAGTGGCTTAATATTGAGAATACACCTTCTTAAGAAATCATCTCATTAAGGTAAAAAACTCATGCATTTCCCTCCAACCTGGGCTCAAAAGCAAACCGATGAGGCAGTAGGGCCTCTTTCAAACTGAATACAAGGGAAAACAAAACCTCTGCTCTGGTTTTATTTCTAACATGCTTGACATTTCTAATTCCCACCCCACAGCTGTCTAAAATGAAATTAAGCGTTCCTGCCTAATCACCAAAACAAGTTTTACCAGTACCAAATTGGTCGTTTAAAGGCCTTAGAGCAGTTTAACCTCTTCCCAAATTGTGGATGTGAAAGACAAAAGCTAGTATTCTAGAGGTTAGATTGGCCCGACTTCTTCACTTCAAATAGGCATCAAACAGATCAACTAAATGCTAATCCCAGTTCTCTAGGAAGCAAAGAAGCTTTGTTAAAAATTCAACCTTTTGAGAAATTGCCTGGTAACCTGTAGACATATTATTAAAGGGAAAAAGGCCAAAAAGGCACTAAACAGTTGTGGTCTACAATCTACAATGCAAATCTTAAAAAAAAAAAAAAAAGTCAAAAAGATATATAAACCATAACACAACCCTCCAACCAAAATCTGCAGATGAAAAAATAATAAATTTAATTAAGTAAAATTAAAGAGCCAATATGGAGAAATAAGTTAATTTGTTTCCTGGCAAAAGCAGCAGAAAGATGCATAGGTGAGTGGCTTCTAAAACCATTACATCATCTTCCTGATTTAACAACCTATTATCAGCTAACAATAGCCAAAAACACGACTTGTTAAAGCAAAGTGTTTTCAACTATGTTGCATGCACAAAGAAATTTCACCAAGAGAGGCATACTGCCCTTCTATTAAGGGGACCACATTTTAGCTGTTCAAAGACCAATTAGTCAATAAAATTCCTGTTTAAAAAGTTCATTTTCTTCAGACTTTTTACTTTTCAGAGGCGAAAAATCGTAAACTGAAATGAAATGACCACAGCTGTTTGAGGACCATACTCCCCATTAAAAAATAAAAAAATGGTAATTTAGGGTTGGTTGCTTGCCTTCTTCCCAAAACAGGTGAGAATATTCTGGCCCCTCCCAACATCCCCAGGCAATGGCCAAGGCTGAAAATTAACTGGCAGTGAAGGAAGTTGGTTAGAAATCCCATCTATTTTAAAACCATCTCAAAACCATGAGCAGGAAAGACTGTGGCAATGAGCTGACCAGATAGCGTTTCTGGCCTGCTCAAAAATACTCTTAATCCCTGCATCGTGTACCTGTGAGAGAAACTCTATACCCTGGGTTTTCAGCCAAAGCAGGTACTGAAAAGGCTGGTTAACGGGCCACCTCACTGTCCCTATGGGTGGGTAAATCAGGTTAAGATCTATATGCTTACCAATTGGAAACCAGTTGTCCATTTTTCCGTAACTCTTTATTCTGCTAGTCATTAAGTTTCATTCCAATTTTCTAACTGACGACTGACCACATAGATTCTAATTAAACCCTAGTCCCCAGAATGGTCAGAGTACCAGTCGTCTTACTAGGATTTTATTGAACTGACACAATATGTTGCCACCAGTAAAACGTATTGAGAAAAAGGTAAAAGCGTTACTGTCAGCTGGTTAAAACTGTTTCCCAACCTGTCCTCAGGGTTAGGGGGGATGCCCAGGTCTCCTGTGCGCAGTTTACGAGTCAGGTCTTCTATCTGCAGTTGCACTGGAAGAAACCAGGTTAGGAAAGAAAAAAAAGGATGGAAAAAAGACAATGTTACCAAAAAACATCTCAAATCTCAACAACAAGCATGAAGAACTCGGAGACTTTGAAAGGGACGACTGATCAGTGACACATTGAGGCAAAAACCCCCAACCACCTATCGGCAGGAGTCCATTTACATCTATAGGTATTTTTCACTTCAAAATGGTTATCACTTAAGGAAGCAAACAGTTTGTTGGAAGAGGGGTTAGCAGTCTACTGTTCACTACAGCTAACATCAAAGCAATTCTGACGAGGTGTTCCACCTCTCCCTCCCCACCAAGGCTTGCTACACAATTGGCACCCAGAACCAAAACCACAGATGCTACCACCAGTTCCCCGTTCCCACCAAATTGCTTTGTTGAGGGCAAGACTCTTGAGAATTTAGTTTTCTTCATTAATGATTAAGCATAGCCCGAAATGAAATCCAATTAACATGGGACAAGGAAAAATATCAGTTGAACAAAGATCATTTTCATCAATACCAGGCTTAAAATACCTTAAACAAGTAAGACATTTAATAACCAATTCAACACCTCAGAGAAGTTTGTACACACTTTCTGTACAACCAGATCCATAGTAGTAAGGATCTCCCAGTACCTGCTTTTACTCAGATTTTAGATGACAATCCATATACCTTAATCAACCAACAACCGTAAGATGCAACAAGTCTGTTTTTAGACTTGCTCCTTACGCAGGGAGTAAGAAGGGTGTAGAGGATGGAAAGTGTGGGTCAAGAGAATGCGTGTGGCCCTCAGACCTTGACAAATGAGACTGTACGTGGAAAAGAGACGGGGGTTTCACAAAAGCTCAGTGACCCCAGGGAAATGTTACCCAGGTGATTTCTCAAGATAGCGGGAACTGCAGAGCCAGGGCACTTCCTTCAGCGTGCTGAACACCCAGCTGTTTCCTTACCTTTGCAGTCAGTGACAGTTCCAAGCACGCATCTCTAATAAGGGCAAGACTTACTGGGTTGGGTTAAGGTTCAGTTGGCTCAAAGATAGGATTAAATGTGTGTCTAACCCAAGACACCCTTTTACTTTTAGATATAGCCCTACAAGGCTACACCACCCACCCATTCAAACTCTGAAGAAACGAAAATCTGCATTAATAAAGAGAAAATGCTGGGGACATTCTGCACAAGGTAGTGTGTACGGTGAGGGACAGAAGATGAGGCAGACACGGGATTCCCTAAACCTCTTTATGCCAGAAAAGTTCTCGCTTGGTAATCAAGTACTAACCTCAACAACTGAAGGGGAAAGCCACCTCCGCGGGGGCAGACAGTCTTCCTAACCCTAACGGGACTGCAGGGGGGTGGGGCCTCATCTCAGGACATGGCTGGCACTTAAACCAAAAGGTTGCTACCTTCCTTAGAGTGGCGATCTACTCTGCCTGGCCTTTCCCTCTACTTTTGATTATGGCTATAAAGTGCCCTCAGAGCAGGGTGCATTAACTCCCTCCACAGAAGGAGAACCAGAGATGTAAAAAATGACTTTGTTTTTCCCATTTTATAAGTCTGCTTGGGTTCCTGGGGTATCATTCCACTAGGGACATCTTCACAAGGTTGCAAAGACTCAGATCCATCTAATATCAGACATAAGAAGGTGGGTGGGAGTAGATAGGAACAGTGGAAAAAGGAGAAATATTAGCACCGTGAAAAGGAGGTAGACAATTCCAACACCTCAAAATTCTCAGCCATCTAAAAAACCTAAGAAATTAAGATCCTCAAGAATAACAACATGCTGGCCTTGAAGCTTTTTATTTGTAAAGGCCACAGCCTCAGAAACCTTTGCCTTAATTTACTCCAAAGGGGTGTTGACTTGCTTCATAGGCAATGTTTATCAAGTGAATTTTTGAGACAGCTGCATAGGTACACAAATAAAGGCAAAACTTACATTAAAAATAAACCTTGTATTTAAAAAAAGGTAGTTGTGAGATTAACTTCAACTCCATTGTGGACAGTCATTCTTAATTCCTGAAATTTCTCAACAGTTAAGAGCTTTCATCCTACCACTTCATTCCATTTCCAAGCGGTATTCCTTTCCCAGCAGAGTTTTTTGAGAGTAAATACAAGAGCCCTCATTTTAAGACAGCTCTCCAAAGACCAAAACAAACAAGATGCTGAAGGGAAGGTTAAATTCAACAAAATGGTAAAAGGGGTAAACTGTAAACACACTTTCAGAACTGAGTTTTTTTTCCTCTCAGAACCTATAAAAAGTAAAAAACCGCATTTTAGGGGAAGGCAGGAATAGGAAATTCTGTGAAAGGCCATGCTGTGAAGAAGGTACCTGGTTTACAACACCTGCAGTGTTCTCCACTGGGGCCATGTCCAGAGAGGCATGAGACACTCACCTCATCAACTGGCCATGAGCAGCAGCTGAAAAGGCTGGGGGGGGGGGGGGGGGGGGGGGCTGTGGCCTGGGGACTAGTCTCACCCTAAGTGGGTCCCTCTACCTTCCTGGCACTCATGGAGAACACTGCTGTTATGAACAGACCACAACAAGGAGCTGTAATGCAGGACTCAGTAAAAACTGATGGATTATGTCAAAGAAAGTACACCTGACCATACCTCATCTCAGAAAAGTAAACTTTACAATCTCAAACTTTCAACAGATAAAAACATTGCTTGGAATACACAGTAACAACCGAAAATGCATCCGGATGCAGAACGTGTATTTACCTATATAAGCTCTCTCTTGTTCCCGAGTAAGTCCAGGGGGGATAACTGTAGGCATTCCTGGAATCACTGTCTTTTGTTCCATTGTGTCTTGGTTCCAGCGGCTTCTCTTCCGCTTCTTACTTGGGAAGTCTAAAGGCAGACACAGTCCGTCAGGTCAAATAGAAACCAAGAAAGTTTACCAAGAGGTAGTTCAGGATACCTGTGACATTACACACAACCTCACCAGGCTCTGAAACTGAGACCTTGACCTAAAGTTTAAACGGCCAGAGAACAGGAGACAAACCTGAGAAGTCAGGGACACACAGCCACTACAAGGGGACCTGGATCCAAAAGGTTAACATCTCATATTTATAATTTTTATCCAGAGAAATCCCGCAAAGTCCGTAAACAAGGTAACAGATCTTAACACACAGTTTCAGATAGTAAAATAACGTGTTGAGAAGATATAGACTACACCATAAATGCATTAAAAACCCCAGGGGAGCCGAGAGCAGCTGAACCACCACAGACAAGTTCACAAAGCAATACTGCTGGCTCCCCCCACCTCCACCTCCCCACCAGTCACCTTCCTAAAGGGCCACAATACAACTAAATCTACAGTTACTGAGAAAGCACCATTCTTCCACAAAAATCCCTTTTTTCTTAAGTTCAGCCAAGACCAACATTCAATGTTCCTGGCCAGATGGACACAATGTCTGAACTTATGGTTGACAGAGAACAGGCGATGCAATAGGAGCAAAATCCTCCTTCCCCGATACATAGGCCAAAACTCCCTACACACTTGGTACACACAAGTCCTTCTACTTCCCAAAGGGAAAGCCCCAGCAATCGCGAGGGGGAGGCGGGCCAGACTTCTCTAGGGGAATTGAAAGGAGATTAGGAAAAAATCGGAATTCCCTTCCCCAAAAACGAGCGGCAGAAGATCGGACCGAACCATCCCCTGAAGCCGTCCCCCTCTCCGGTTCTCTGATCTGAAAACCCTCCTTACTGCAGAGGCAGAGAAGCCACTCTTGGTACTTTCTTCCCCTCCCGACCCCCCTACAACCAGAAAGGGGATGCTCCACTTCATCAGTTGAGCCTTTCACGCCCTGACACGCACCCCCAGCACCCCGTCCACCCACTCGACCCCCTCCACGAACGGCTGGCGAGGAACAGGGGGCCCCCCAGCTCTTAGGCCCGCCAAGCCCGGCAGCCACACTGCGCATGCGCACAGCAAGCCTCTTCCAGCCCCGCACTCCCCTCCCCCCGCGCGCGTGCGCACTCGCGGTCCAAGCCCCAGGCCGCGCGCCCCGTGGCGCCTCCGCCCGGGCCTCCCCGTGCGCGCGCGCGCCCCTGCCGCGTGCAGCCGCCGTCGCGCTACCGCGCGCCCCTCAGCCGGCCGGGCCCGTCCGCGCGACGCCTCTCGCGCTCTTTCGGCCCGACTCACGTCCGCCGCCGCCGGCCGGGCGGTCCTGACGCGGCGGCGGGTACGCGGAGCCCGCGAAGGGCGGCGGCGACGCCGCGGGGAGGAAGGCCGCGCTCAAGGCCCCGGCCGAGCCCGCGGGCAGGAAGGCGACGGCCGGGGCCCAGCAGCCCCGCCCAAGGCCCCGGCTCGAAGCCCCCTTTGGGCCCGGGAAGGGGAGGGAGGGCGGGGGTGCCGAGCTTACCCAGCGGCGTGGCGTTCGCTCCGGTCGCCATGGTGCCCCCGAGGACTGGCACCGGCGGCTCCTTCGCGGCGGCGGCGGCTCCTTCGCGAATCTTCCGGGGGGAGGGGACCCGACTGCGCTGCCGCGGAGCGCGCGGAGCCCGTCCTCTCACGCGGCGGGCGGCGGCGGCGGCGGCGGCGCGAGACGCACAAAGAGGGAGGAGAGAGGGCGCCGCGGGGGCGGGCCGGGGGCGGCGGGGCCGGGGCCGGGATTGGGCCGGGCCGAGGCAAGGGGTCGGAGTCGGCGGCCTCCGATTGGCGGAGTCTTAGCCCTCCTCGGTGCGCGCTGGGATTGGCCGGACCGTTAGGCCAGGCGAGGAAATGGCGGCCGAGCGCGGCGAACGGGGAGGTGTCGAGGCGCGCACTTCATTTGTTACTGCGCGGATTGAGCTCGGAGTCCGGAGAGGAGAGGAGGGGGTGGGGCCGACTCTGTGACGTCGGGGCCAAGAGCGCTCTCATTGGCTGAAGTTGATGGAGTCAATCAAGCTCAGTTGCGTCGTACTGGCATGGGATTGGCTGTCGCTGGTTGGCTTCTTTTTCTCCACCCCTCCCCCGGAGAGCAGTCTCGCTGGGATTAAGCGAGAGGTCGCGGCGGAAAAGGCCCGGCCGAACGGGATTGAGGGCGGGGGAGGAGTGGGGCCGGAGCGCGCATGCGTAGGTGGGACAGCGGCGCCCGTTCGCTCCTAGCTTCACCGTCGACCCCCGGTCCCGCACGGAAGCCCTAAGTGACGTCAGTCTTCAGTTCCCATGGTAACCCGGAACCGGGGAGAGGGGGTGGGGCCGGCGCGCGCCCCTAGAGCGGATCCGTTGACGCCGCAGGTGAAAGGGACTTCCTGTTTTCTTTGAAAAAATAAGAAGTGGGGGAAAAAATGCTATAAGCTTATTGAAAGATTAAAAACGATATCTGAGCCAACGGAAGAACGCATAATCTTAGGTGGAAAACAGTATAAAGTTGTCAACCCCAAAATGCGTTCACAGATACAATGCATTTCCATTAGAATCTTAACGGAGTTGGGGGTTGATTAAATCATCTCAAAATCATGTAAAATAACTAGGAAAACCGTGGAGAAACTTGTACACAGGTTGATGAGGGGCTTGCCTTTCCAGATAATACGGGATAAAAAACAGTAAAGAAACAACGCGGTGTTGTAGGAAGGTTTAGTGCAATCGAATAGGGTCCCCAAGTAGGTTCCCCACGTGTAGGTAGAAATAGCACAAAGATGGCATTTTAAGTCAGGAAGGAAAAGGTCTAGCTAATAAATGGTACGGAGTCCTCAATCTAAACAGTAAAACGGACGTGGAATGCGATTCAGGAGACTGTCGGGGTCATCTAGAGGTAGAGGCTTTATGAAGACAAGTGTAAGGGAGGAAAAACTTTTCCTCTACCCTCCTTGGTTCTTTGGCTGGCCTAATAATCATATTAACACAGGACAGATTGATGGGAGAAAAACAAATTTAATTATGCAAGTTGTGAGAATGTGAGACCCAAAGAAGTGACCGAAGCACACAGTTTTTATACCTTTTAGACAAAGAGGCAGCAAATCTGAAGAATTAACGAGACAAAGAAGGCTGGGCTTGGGGTAGTAAACTGTTGTAACAATGTTTGTTTATGTAGCCTTCTCCGCCCTGAATTCCCCATCTCTGGTGATAAGGACGTCTCTTCCTCCCGTAGAGGGAGGGTACCTTTCAGATGGGACGTTTATTTCCTGCTTTCAGGGGGACAAAGGAAGGTCAAAGTGTCCTTGCACTGGCTGCTTCTTAAGTAATTTAACTCAAAATAAATCAGTAGGCCAAAGTAGCATATTTGGGGGCGGACTGCCCTGAACCCCGTCACAGGAAATTCAAACCAGAAAGAAAAGGTATACTTCGTTACCAAAGAAACTAAAAGTGTATGATAAAAGTTAACAGACAGGGGCTGGCCCCGTGGCCGAGTGGTTAAGTTCGCGCGCTCCGCTGCAGGTGGCCCAGTGTTTTGTTAGTTCGAATCCTGGGCGCGGACATGGCCCTGCTCATCAGACCACGCTGAGGCAGCGTCCCACATGCCACAACTAGAAGAACCCACAACGAAGAATACACAACTATGTACCAGGGGGCTTTGGGGAGAAAAAGGAAAAAATAAAATCTTTAAAAAAAAAAAAAAGTCAACAGACAATAATGCATTAGGGAAATGTGCTTGCTGTACGTATGATAAAGAGCTAATATCTATAATATACAAAGAAGTCTAAAAACTAATTAGAAAAGAGACAAAAACAATAGAAAATGAGCAAAGACGATGAATATGAAGTCTCAGAACAGCAAATCCAAACAGCCAAAAAATATGAAAGCATACCAACCCCCCAAGAAGAGAAATGCAAATTAAGGTAACAATGAGGACTCTTCATAACCATCAAAATAGCAAAAAACAAATGTGCTGGGCCGGCCCGGTGGTGCAGCGGTTAAGTGTGCAAGTTCCACTTCAGTGGCCCGGGCCAGTTTGGATCCCAGGTGCGGACGTGGCACCACTTGGTGAGCCATGCTATGGCAGGCATTCCCACATATAAAGTAGAGGGAGATGGGCACCGGTGTTAGCTCAGGGCCAGTCTTCCTCAGCAAAAAAGAGGAGGATTGGCCGCAGATGTTAGCTCAGGGCTAATCTTCCTCAAAAAAAACCAAAAATGTGCTAACACCTACTGCTGTGAATTTCTTTTTGGGAAAGCATTCTGTTGTCTATTAAAATTGTACCCCTTTCAGGAAAAATTAAAAACCCTTTCGATGTAGCAGTCCCACTCCTGGGACTCTGCCCCAAGGCAAGGCCTGTGATTATATAATATTGTGTGTTCAAGGTCTTCTCCTGCAGTTACTGCAGCTTTGTTTGTCATGGCAAAAACCTGGAAACCGAATTTCCATCAATATATGAATGGTTGAACAAACTGGAATATCCATAACCTGGACTATTAGGCAGCCTTGAAAAGTAGTTAATCCATACCAACATAGAGAGGTTTCTGTGCTGTATTATTATTAAATGAGAAAAGAAGCAGAGAAATAGATATTACATGATCTTGTTTTTATAAAACAAAGCCCATATATGTGCATGGGTGTTTGCATATTATTATATGAGTATAGAGAAAGCTATGGAAGGAGACACACATTTTCAGCAAAGACATTGGAGAAGGAAACACATACCTAGAAATTGTCTAATATATTTTAGGAGCCCAACATATTTTTTAAATGTGTTTCATACTTTTTAAAAATGTGTGACATGGTCCCATTTGTATAATATTATATATAACTGTATAGATAGAAAGAAATGCATTGAGGGGACAATCACCAAATTTCCAATGGTGGGGGATCTAAGGTAATTTTTACTGTTTTTCCTCCTCTTTCTAATTTTTTCTAATTTTTATACTATTTATATAATAAAAATGAAGCTAATATCATCGACAAGAAAGGAGAAATATAAAAGTTTAAATCATCTGTTTGGAGGAAAAATGAATTTATGCAGTAAATATAGCAAATTCTATGAAAGAGGGGAGAAAAGAGTCATTCAATGTTACAGCAGATACTGAGTTGAACAGCTTGGTGGATACGACAGTAAATGAAATTCAGTCCCTGCCTTGCAGAAAATCACAGTGTGGCAAAGGAGAAAGACAAATGCACAAAGAAAAATACACTGTTAATACTAATAATGATACCTCCTTACTAATAACGGGGAAGACTGCAGCTGGGGCTGTCTCAGGGGGCGGCCATTTTCACTGCTTCCTGGTCATTTCAGTTTAATTTTCTCTTTTATCCAGGATTTTCTTGGGAGTCTTTTTTAATTACCAAGTTAAAATATTTTGGTCATCTTTTTATTATTAATTTCTGTTTTTGTTAGATTTCTGCAGAATGTGGCCTTAAAAATCTCTGCTCTTTCAAAAAAGTACAATTTTCTTTATGGTTAAATGTATGATCAATTTTTCTAAGTGTTCCAAGGACAAATTAATGGCTAGGAGTTTGCATTTTGGCTAGTCCAGCCTCAGTTCTGAGTTCTTTCACATGGAGTAGCTCATTTCATCCTCACGGCCACCTTTGGAGATGACTACTGTCTCTAATCTATAGATGAGAAAACTGAGGCATGAAAAGGTTAGGTGACTCCTTCAAGGTCCCACAGTCTCCCAGTACAGTCTGCTGGTCCAAAACTCTTCTGGACAGAGCAGGATTGGAATGCAGACCATGCCACTTTCTGGCTGAGGACCGTTGAGCAAACTTCCCCATTTTGAGGCAAGTTGGAGTCCTGCAGACCAGGGCGAGCCATCCTCCAGCTGGCAGCTTGGGAAGGCATTTAATCTCTCCGTGCCTCAGTTTGTCTGTAGAACACAGATGTCGACCAACACTACTCTCCAGGGTGCTATGCTGATTCAATGAGATGAGAGGGCACAGTTGGCTTTCGTGGGGTGTCTCCTGAGCTGCGGGGGCAAGGATTACGCCACGGATGCTTCCTGATTTTATACAAAGGTGCAGTATCATAAAAAATATCTATCTGGTCTTTGTCCTCAGATCCTGGCCCAGAGTGTCAAAAACCCTAGGGAGTTCCTAAGTGATAGGAGTGTCTTTCATTATTCATGATGAGCCCCTTTGGACTAATGAGTTTAGCTAACAGGGTGACTCACTGTCAGCTCTGAGGGCCCTGAGACAGCTTTGGGATGGTGCCTGGTCACCAGAAAACACAGCTCTCAGCCCCACCCCCCACTTCAGGGGCTGGAGATTGCATTCAGTCACATGGCCGGTGATTTAATCAATCATGCCTCTGTAATAAAGCCTCAATAAAAACGCTGAACAACAAGGTTCAGAGAGCTTCCGGGTTGGTGAACATATCAGTGTGACAGGAGGGTGATGCAGCCTGCCTCTACAGGGACAGCAGCTCCTGGGCTCAGCAGTCTTTCACACCTTGCTGTCCTATGCATCTCTTCATAGCTGTGCATTTGTATCCTTTATAATAAAATGGTAATCATAACATAGTGCTTTCCTGAGTTGTGTGTGTCATTCTGGCAAATTATGAAACCTGAGTGGGATTGTGGGAAACCCCAAATTTGTAGCCGAATTGGACAGAGGTGCGGGTAGCCTGGAGACCCAGGACTTGTGGCTGAATTCCTTAACCTGTGGGGTCTGCCAACTCAGGGTAGTTTGTGGCAGAACGGAATGGAATTGTGGGATATCCAGTCACCGTGAGAATTAGTGTTGGAATATAAAGAGTAAGAAGCTTCGGTGCCTTCCTGCTAATCCTGGCATTTTCCATTTACCTCTACATCTGATAGTTCAGAAGCCCCAGTTCTCAGGCAAGGCTGAGACGGAGGGTCACCCAGCTAGCTGGGACAGCAGGGAGCCAACCCGTGGCTGGCTGCTCAGCGTCCAGCCTTTAGAGAGCCCAGAT